GCAGAAGCTGCAGCTGAGTGTGATGCAGGGCGAGCAAAACGGTCAGTCCTAGAGCTGAGACCTGCGGATAAAGTATTCGAATTTGGGCGGGGGAAGGTGGATGACGGAAAACGTGAAAGTGTAAGAAGGGAGGCGTCAGCAGTAGCATGTTTTCGCTTACCCGCCCTGCTGTATGCAGCAAGTAAGGCGACCCGGCTGATGGCACAACGCGACGGCCGATGTGGCATGAGAATATTTTTAGTTGTGTAGGTCATGGTTGTACGAGTACAAGTATATATGTATAGTAGGTTTCCCTGGGGAAGTTTACACGTTGCACTCAACTCTCAAACGACAATGGTTCCTTACTTCATGTGTTTGCTGTTTTGCTTCGTTCGTTAGGATGTTTACCACGCTTGTAACACAATTCGTGATTTCAGATCCTTTTTTCGGCTGTTTTCACCCTGAGTATCAACACTTGGAAGTCCCACTTCTTATATCACTGTGCATACTAACTGTTTTTCCCGTGTCACATTGCTTCAAACTTCCTGAGCAACCGAAGGGCCAGGGGGTAGCGTAGATCTTAGACGCTATCTCAGGCTGTTTTAAGCCTATAGCTAGATAAGCACCCTTCTTGCATGGCTATGAAGAATTGTCGCTTTGATCATGCAACATGAAGAGTGCCGTTTCCTCCATTCCTACGTTTGTATGCGATTAGATTACTTCCATTCTGTCCATAATTTCTCACTTTCTCCCAACCAGACTTAGTATGTACGGTATCATTTCATTCTTCATGCGCTCCCCCGTGTACCAGGTGTACATCCCGATTGTTTCCTAATCTCTCACTACCAACAAACTACAGGTATAACGGTGATACTAAAAGCCTTCTCCTTTCGTTTGGTGCCGTGACCAGGATAAGGATGAAGATCCCATGGCCGCAACCCTTTGAGGATGGGGATGTTCGGACCTTCCCTGAGGACTTTGAGGAATTTGCGGAGGCTGCCGGGCTGGAAACCGACCGGGGTAAGTTGGCAGTGTTGAAGACCCTCCTCAGGGGCCGGGCGAAGGCGGCCCTGATGCGGCCAGAAGAAGAGGCCCTCAGATGATGGACTGGGCCGCCGCGAATGAAGTCCTTGCGGCGGAGTTCGACACGCCGGCCGACCGCCAGGAGGCTATGAGGCGGTTCAAGACGGCCAGGATGGCACTCGGATCGGCCCCGACCGTGTTCTTCTCAGCAGTTGTTGGATCGCGCTTTGCCCGACGCTGGATGGAGTGTCGCGACACCAGTTGCTGTCGGATCAGTTTGTCGAAGGTGTGCAGCCCGCGCTCGGTGTCCAGTTGCGGTTGGCACGAGCAACTGGCCAGTTGAGTGTGGAGGAGCTGATGCATCCGGCCCGGGAGCTGCCCCAGGAACCACTGGCCACGTTGCAGTCGCCGAAGAACAGGGATGGTTCATCAGTGGAGGAACTGCAGACCATGGTGGACCAACTCACCGAACAGCTGGCAGCCGTGAAGACGGAATCGTGGAGGCACGCTCGAACCAGCCGGTGCTACATGTGTGGCAAGCCTGGCCACTGGAAGAATCAGTGTCC